ATGTCTGCTCTGTGTCAGAACCAAACAAGGAGAAGCAACATTCAGTTTCTATCCTCCTCTAAACTGGAACAACCTTCCAGAAAACTGCAAAACAGCCGAAGCACTGAGTTCCATTAAGTTAAGGTTAAAAACCCAGCTGCTTAGATCTGCCTTTGTTTAATAATAGCAACACTGATCAATATATTTATTGAAGAATATTTTTGAAGATTTTGATGATGGCATTTGACAAATGCAATGTTTATGTATTTTATGTTTTATCATTTAAAGCACTTTGAACTGCCTTGCTGCTGAAATCTGCTATAGAAATAAACTTGACTTAAAAGTATTTACACACATTCTAGATGGAAGCTCAAGAATTCACTGATTTTAACTGTTTGCAGGCGGCTGTGATCCTCAGCCCACGTGAATAGAAATGTTAGTTAAATAACTCTGGCATAACACAACCATTTGATCTCCTTACTATGCATGTAGCATACAGTATTTTGACTTTTTGACATTTCCATATTCATATATTATTAGTTGCACCATTATATCTAAGCAATCCCTTAGCCTGTGAACTTGTTTACTGGCAGTGACAATAAAATGATTCTGATTCTAATACCAGGGGCTCACTGCATCTCAATAATCTGGGTTTAATGAAGTTGTCAGGCTTATTCAATGTCTTCAACTGAAACTTGCTTAAAAGCCTTGAAGAATACCATGGAAATGACTGTGTGAATTTTTGTGTTATATTGCCATTAATGGAGACAGATATAAAATCACAAACACCTTAGTGTTCCTGATGCCTAACTGTTTTGCACCCCCCACTACAGGGCAACAAACCTCAGGGAAACACTGTGTGTGATTGTGGGAATCTGTGCCTCTCCCTCATTATGTGGCTCAGAAAATAGAGGGAGACATAAAGGAAGGAAGCAAGGTTCATTGTGAGCAGCATGAGATCAGAAGTGTTTGATGGTGATACCTAACCCAGTGAGTTACAGGCCCACCCTGCTGCTTCACTAATTGAAACCCTACAAACCTCCCTGACTGTCTGATCTGTGTGCTTAACGGAGCGAGGAGACCTCAGGTATTTGACGAATAAGTGATTTCTATTAATGTTGTCCTTTTTAAAAATCAATCATAATGTCTTATTGGATTGTGATAAGAGTTCTTATCATAATCCGATATTTACAGAGTTGGGAGTGTTTTCTTTTTCTCTCTGGTTAAGAAGTCATTGTGTAGTGTTTTTGGGAGCAGGGTTTGGGGAATACTAAGAAAATCAAAACTATAGCAAATTTAAAAACAAATTTTGAACAACATGTAATTCTGGCCAAAGGCAGTGATTGTGTGGCCCAAAACAATGAATTTTAGAGAACAAGCATAGAAAAAAGATCAGATGAAAAGCTCAGAAAATCTGATATGCTGCTCAAGCTCTTACACACTTTCAAAAATGCACACACGGCACAGTGAAACTACTGCTGGCTTGACGATGTGAATGCCCTCAGGTCTTTTATAATCCCCTTTCTATCAGTTGTATATGGATAGCCAAAACTCCCAGACTGACACATGGTAAACACAAGACCACAGGGCAGGCAGGACGTCTGATCAGTCCAATCACCAGCACAAGATATTGTCAGGAAGATCTGGAGCATGTAAATACTCTGTGAGGACTGTGATTGACTTGGACACACAAACATCTTAAATGGAAGCACACACACCCACAGTCACGCACACACACGTGCACACACCTACACACACACACACACACACACACACACACACACACACACACACGTTTGCGTTTGTTTGTAATACCTTGTGGGGACGATTTTCCTGACATATACTACGTTGTGGGGACCAATTGCTCCTTGTGGGGAAACCCTGTTTTTGGGTCAGGGGTCAGAGTTAGGACTAAGGTATGAATTGAGTTTTGGTTAGGGTTAGGGTTGGGTATGTGATGGTTAGGGATAGGCTTAGGCTGTAGAAATGAATGGAAGTCAATGGAAAGTCCCCACAAAGATACCAACACACACACACACACACACACACACACACAATGCAGAGCAATGTCTTTGACCTGATTCTCTGTCTTTAAGGCCTTTGATTTTTCTAACTCCACTTATTGTTCTGGCCCCAAACATGTCAGCTATCATTGTCACACCCTAAGCCTGCTTTACTTCTTTACTCTCTCCTCTTTGCAAAGATTGAGCGAGCTGGGGCAAAGCAGAGATGGAGAGAGTGTATGAATGACGCACTGATTGGGGGCGGTATGTTGGATTGTGCTGCATTGACACATAAAACCAATATTTCTCAGTTTTCAGATGTCTTGTTGAATGCCCTACCAGGTTTGATATTCTAAGTAGCTATCACAACAAAGGGGCCAACAAATGGCAGGAGAGGTGCTGGAAGACTATTACTACTGTTAATGCCAGAATTAATGTATGGTGTTTGACCAAGAGAGAAGGAGGGTTACCTGAGGAGAGATACTGTCAAACAGACCTGGTAGCAACCTCTAACTTACCAGGATCTAACTGGGATAATGCTTTAGAAGTAGGACATATGTAATTAAATTTTAATTCTCACCAATCCATTTGTACTAAAACAGCTTCAATAGCATCCAACTTATACAAAAATGCAGTAGTAAGGAAGTTTGCAGTTTGTAGCGTTTTCTCTTAAGCCTTAAGATTAGAGCTGGCTCCACTACTGAACATGGCTTCACTTTAAAGTAAGACTGCTTTACTTGGTAATTAGGATTTCCCAACAATAATGGTTAATTGGTACCAGGCTCATTTTTAGTATTTCGGGAATCCAAGTGAACTGAGTAGGGCCAGAAATCTGTCACTGGTTGGTAATTGCCATAAAGCAATTACCAGAAAACTAAGAACCACAACAGCCAAAGTGGTTGAACTAAAGAAATTGGAAGTGGTTGAAGCAACTGGCCATCATTTACTGGTTCAGTTCAATCAGAGCCTGGAAATCATATTGATAATAAATGTACTGTTTGCTTCAGTCAGTGTTTTAAGCACTTTGTATTGCCTTGTTGCTGAACATGTGCTATATAAATAAAATACCTTACCTTACCTTACCTTAAGTCTGAACATGGAGTTCTGCCATTGCATTTTTTGACTGACTCTTTATTCTGGAAAATCAAATTTTAAAGTAAGACTGTTATCTGGTAAAGCTGTGGCTAAGTTTAAATGAACATAAAGGACTAATGTAATGAACAACATAAAAGTCCAATTTTAGAATTACTATTTTATACTGTATAAGTTGTATTGCTCATGTGTCATTATGATTTGAGATAAATACACATTTAAAAAAGAGCATATTGTTTACTATTTGTATTGAGTAATTTGATCATTGTAGTTACCCCTGATTACAGTAAAATTAGCGTACATGATTCTAGAGACGTGGTGGCTTTGTACTTTCCTTTGGTGAGTGTAAAAATAATGACCCTGGGACTTAGGTCTAAGTCACTAAATCTAATCTAGCCGTTAACAAGTGCCGTTATTTTAAGGAAAAGAGCTACCATTAACAGGAGTGGTTGTTGAAGCTATGCAGCTGTGAGGGCTACTGAGCTGACTGTTTCTCAACTGAAAAGGGTCGTAACTTCTGGATTGTAGGTAGTTAGAGCTAGACGAGTCTTTTCCGCCACCAGTTTAAATAGAATATCTCTTATAAACCGACTTTGGGGTAAGACCCGGGGTTTCAGAGATTTTCCGGACCTGTTAGACAGAGAACTGGTTAGTAGTCAGACGAATGAGTGGTGAGATAAGGGCGGGGCTGACTATTGCGTAATAACAAACACATTTCATTGCAATATTGTTAAAAAAAGACTCAAAATGACTAAGTTCTAAGTTTCAGATTTATGACTTGATTTGGCAGTTGCCTATGATGACTTGAGACTTGAGAATAAAGACTTGGTCACATTTCTTGTTATATGCACTCCATATTAGACTATCCAATTTGCTTCTTGTAAGTTGTGCTTTCATCATGATTTCCTATTTGATCTCAGCATACACTGGGAGGAGTCAAGCATTCACCATTGGCATTTATGTGAATTGATGTCTCATTTTTAAGAAAAGGTAAACTAAATAAGTTCCTTTTTCTTACCTGGTGAAATCATCACACAAACAACTCTGCTTGGATGTTTCAGTGCAGAAAAGCCTTGCTCTTTAGAAATAACACTTTTATAGTGAGGGATTCTGGACCATATATCTGTATTTCCTGATACTGGATTAGTGTTTCATGGAATTTAATTTGCTCTAGTCTGTTACGTTTCTGTTGACCAAATTATTCCAAACCAAAAATGATTGATCTATTTGATTTTAGCATTCTATTCATCATATAGGTAATAAACAATAGTGGGGACATTTTAAAAAGACACAATTTAATTGTCAGAATTCATAAAGAGATATGATAATCCATGTTTGTGTTTAGGGCTGGGAAGGTAAGAAGAATATTTTATAGCTGCATCAGCACAACAGTATTAAATAAAGTAGTTCAACTAACGAAAAAAAAAAACAAGTTCATGTAACTAATTCGTCATGCCACATGTTAAGTTACATTTTTTAACTTGTGTGGACTGCTTGATACAAATTAAACCCTGCTTAGAAATACTAAATACCTGCAACTTACTACTTACTCTTTTCAAATTCACTTAAATTAAAAGACAATTTTCTTGAATTAATCTGTGTCCTCCCTCCCTAGCTCTCTCTCTTTTTTTATTAAGGTTTCATTGGCCCTAGTGCCCTTTATTTGGTGGGCAAACTGGATAGTTGGCAATACATGTGCCAAAGGTCATCAGACTGAGACTCAAACCTGTAGCAGCATTTACCCCTGCACCACTGCAGCACTGTCTCCCACTTCACAGAATTACTGACATCAAATATTTGAAAATGGTAAATGGCTAGTACTTGTATAGTGTTTTAACAAGTCCAGAGGACGCCAAAGAGCTTCACAACAGGAATTCACCCATTCACACACACGCTCATGCTGACGGTGGCAAGTTACTGAACAGTAGCCTCAGCTGCCCTGGGGCCGTCTGATAGAGGCGAGGTTGCAATGCACCGGCGACACCAGGCCCTCTGACCAATATACAAAATACATAACATATACAAAAAACTATTCTCTCTGATTAAATATTCAATAGAGATGAATTCACTCTCACTCTTGACCATCAATGTCGTTTCCAGGTGCCACTTCTGCATCATATTTACAGGAATACCAGAAACACAATACAAAGGTTCCAGCTTGGGACTTTTACATGTAAAAAAAATTGCAAGTAATTGTGTTAATGACCCAAGAAAATTTATTAAATTAGTTAACAGTGGTGATATCCCTAATTATAAATTGACACAGTGGAGTCCTGTCTTTCACAAGCACAGAGTGTTATCATTGGCAGCTAGAGTTAGCATAGCGCTAACAGCCTAGCTTAAAAGGATCCAGGACTAGTTGAACATGTTGGCCTAAATATGTTGCAATGTTTCTATTACTTAAAAAAATGTTTTTGATACGCCAAAACTCATAATTACTTAAAAAATTTACGTATTTTGTTATATTTTTCACTCATGGAGGTCGCCATTTTTTCACGCTGGGTTGATGACACATAATGGTCCATTCTGTACCGGAGTCTACAGAGTAAACACAGGACAGCTAACTTTACCCCAGTAGTTGTTTATCACATTGCGTTTGACTGGTGTCATTTTTTTTAACACTGTGTCACTATCGGCTGTGATAAAAAATAAAACTTGAGAAAGAATCTGGATAATTTCCCACATGAAAGAAAGGAGAGCGCAGTGCGAGAGCCAGAGCAGAACACCCTGGACATTTCTCCACAACACTTTGAGCCATTTATACCAGTAAAACCGACGAAGGCTCTAACAGCCAACGTTAAGGTAGCGTTTAGGTGATGGCTACCTTAACGAGCTAAAAATAAATGCCGTGTTGCGGCTGAGACAGGCAGAGCTGGATGCTCTTTGAGATGCTAACAGGAGCTATACTGTCTGCGGTATTGACATCACCGATCGGCCAGGTCCATGGAGGTCCGGTGTCGGTGGTAATTAAGTCCAGTGTGACTGTTACCACCGCACTGAACTCTAAGCAGCACAGCTGATACCGAACCAGACACAGCGCTACAGGCGCTGGGAGAAACGTCAAAGACAAACAGCGCTAATGGGCTATTGCTATACCGGAAATGCTAATGGAGCTAGATCACTGGTACTGTAAAACCATTATGACACTGAACGAAGTTCATACCCTGTTACCTAACTGGACACAGAGCTACAGAAGTACTTGCTGTATCACACAGTCCGACCAGAGGTAAGTGTCATTCATTGTTTCATTATGAAACTGAAGGCAGGAGCAAAACACCAGCTCCTACGGTCAACTCTGTCGAATACCTCTGTTTGCTCCTCCTCATTTTCATCACCTCTTCTGATTTCTATGTTCCGATCATTTTCAATGCACTCCAGTTCAAATTAAAAAGGCTTAATCACATTTCTCATCACTGTTTTGGCTGGAGGAGTCAGGCAGTTGGACCTTTACATGTCATTTACCCAGAATGCATTGCACTGTGAAAAACATGGCGACATTCCTGTGAAAATATTTTATTATAATGTACAAAAACTAAATAACCTACAGTATTATTACTGTATTGTTTTTACATCTGAGATAAATATTTCCCAAATAAGGTATATTTTTATAACTAGTCGTAGTTCACTTTAAGATAAAATAATGCATGGAGACTTGTTCCAATGTTCTTTTATCTGAACATGTTTATGTTCATGAAAACGCTGGAATTAATCTCTTTTCATGAGTCAGATGAGATAAATTACTGGCTCCAGAAAAGTAAAAAACAAAAATCAAATAAAACATTTGTACCTTGATTCATGCAGTATTACGTCAAACTGAAAAAAGCAAAATTATCAAAAGCTTACTTTTTCTAACTTAATCCAGCTCCAGGAGAGTGAGTTGGAGAGACTTTAAGTTCAAAGTAATGTGGTGGGATGGTGTTCCACCCTCCCCCACTCTGCACACCGGGTGCAGCTAGAAGCTCACCATTAATTGATGGGCGGGGCAGATGCCTTTATAGTTGGGCAGGCCGCTGCAAGGTGCGTGTGTGGCGACTACATGTTGGCTTGTGGTTTGATCGGCTCGTCTGAGATCGTAAGTGCCAGTTTTGCTATCAGTGGCTGGGATCGTGGTTGGTTTTTGGGTGCTACACCTATCGTGCGTTTCTGCAGTGTTGCTCTGCTTGCGTTACTGGCTGCAGCTGG